GGTGCGCCAGCAGCTGGAGACCCTCCAATGAAAATGTCCCCCAGAGTCACCCCATTTTTATTGATGCAGAGAACGGCCTTCCCCACAATTGTCACTTCAGGCCAGCAGCCCATGGCCACTCTTCTCCGCTGGGCTCCCTTCCTGTCCTCATTTAAAACCATTTCACCTTGGTTCTCACTCCTGACCCTCAGACACGTCCTTGAACATTTGTGTTTCTGTACAAAGTCTGCAGGGAATTTGGGGTGGGTCCTGTGGGGGGGTGTTGAGGCACTTGGCTGCTCCCTGAAATGTTGGTGCTCTGAGTCCACCCAGAGTTCCTAGTTCCAAACACAGTCGCCGACCCCTGTGGCCCACAGGTCGACTCTGGGCTCCCCAGCGGTCAGAATCAACTTAACAGCAATTTATACTTTCTTTTTAAATATTCGATCAATGATATCGTCCTATAGCTCTTATACTGTCTCTTGCTTTTTTTTTTAAGCCAATGTGGATAAATGTTTAAGAGATATTTATTTCCCTGCTTGTTGTTGCTAAATAGGATCCCACTGCTCACGTCTGCCCGGGCTCCTGGTGGCAGACCTTAGGTGCTCTCCGACTCCCGGATCCATCAAACCATCATGAACTGTGTGCGTACCTGGCTCCATTTCTAACCTCTGGGTCCCCCTGCCCAGCCTTAGCTTCTTCCCCAGCCCCCAGCTCCACTGAAGGGGCTGGCTTCAGAAGTCTCATCTCGCTCAGAGGAGCTGGATGCCCTGGCCTCCACCAGCATCCTGCCTTCTGTTCTCAGAAGGCAGACAGGAGCCTGGTTGGCTCTGTGCTAGACCTTCTTCGTGATGCTGGCCAAGTCTGGCCCCTCTTTTGCACCAGGCGGGACATGCTGACCCTGTGGGCTTTAGACACAGAGGCCCAGGCCGCAGAAATCCCAGGCCGGGAGTGGCGGTGGGGGTGGTCACACACCAAGTCGCAGGCCGAGCAGCCTCTGAGAAGGCCACAGGCAGGCCGCTCTGCTGGGGAGGGTACGGGCACAGTGAATGGGGTCCACATGCCTTCCACTGGCAGCCACTGATCTGAGGGTGGCCCTTGCTAATTCAGACCCTCCAGGGCAGGGAAAACACACACCTGGATGGAAGGACCTGCGCAGGAATCCTCTATGCTGACTCTTGGGGTCCAACGTGCTCAGGACAGGCCCACCCTGGCCTCCTGCCCCAGGCTGGGCTGGCTAGCACATGGCAGGAGGTCTGGTCAGCGACTGTCTTCCCTGGGGTCAGAACCTAGCCCATTGAACCACTCCCTCCTGCCCCAGTGCCAGTACTTTCTCTGGTTGAGGGAAGTTGGCAAACTGCTCTTTGGCCAGGTCTGGTGGATCAATAAACACTTGGGGATGAAAATACATTTGGAGCGATTCGGTCCATTTTCTAGACTTGGGCAAGAGACGGAGCCCTCTCACAACTTTTACAGCTAGGTACCCCCTCAGTTGTCAGAAAGTTCTGCCACCCATCGGACCTAAATCCTTCCAGCTTCATTAGGAATGCTCAGGAGGATGGCCCTGGGCTACAT